ATGAGTTGTAATGGGTTTCTTTATTATACACCTAACAACAATCATTGCCAAATACTCAGAGGGAATGAGATAACATAATCCATAAATGTGATGTCATACATCCCACTTTGATGAGTAGTTATTGGGGTCTTAGGGAGCTCTAGAGGCTTAGTGGTAAGGAGTTGCACTGTTACTGCAAAGACACATGGTTTGAATGGACCAACTGCTCCTTGAAATCTGGAACAAAACTCAACCTTATGACTCAACTTTCAGACAAGCAATGCGTGAATTGGGGAGACCAATGACAGCAGTGAAGCATCCACTCCTTAGAATGGCCAATCCTATCAGAAGAGTAGGATTGTTCCAAGGATAAAACTCTGAAGGCAGGAAGGGGTAGGAAAGAAGAATTAATGGAGATAAGGGAAGGTGTGAGAAAAGTGGGATTGAATTATAGCTATTGTGATTAATCTTATGAAACAAATGTGTATAAATGATTGAATGAAAAACCAATATATGCTTGGTAAATGTTCACTCAGATCACTTATTCTCACACATGCACCCCCCCCACACACACATGTGGCTACATTTGGTGGTGAAAGGAAACTTACAGATTATTAGATGCCCCCAGAATCATCTTTTCTAAGAGAGCATCTTCTTTTCTGCCTCTGAAGTGGTGCCACTCAATGTGAACTGGTGGGAAACTACCTTGAGAGGACTTTTTCTTTAAAACTGAAGGGAGGGTCCTACTAGCATGTTTAGAATAGAGTGCAATGCAATGCACAGAGAACTGTCTGTAGCAAATAATTGTTGTGTGTTGCTGAGTTATTTCAGACTCATAACAACCGCATGTGTTAGGTCTTACTGGGTGTTTAAAGAGGGTAAACATGAAGGCACAGGGCCATGAGTGTCTTTCGGAAAGGGCCAGAGGAAGTGAGAATAATACCCCTCCTCACTGTCTCAGAACAGAAATCAGATAAAGAGCCTGTAGCCCAGCCCTATGGGGCCTGTAGAGTCCCACCAGCAGACTCACAGTTGTACTGAGAATGGGTTTATTATGGAATTAAGTTGGAGAGTGAGAGAGGCAAAGAATATCACCTAAAACAAGTCCAGGTTTTATCCCAACACGTCTAAGGCATGATTTCTCAATAAGTCCAGGCTCTGGTCTCAATTTAGCAGTCAAATCCAAATCATCCAGCCAGGTTTGCGTCAGAGCAGTTGTAAGTCACCTTCTCCTTCAAGTATCCATCAAGAAAGCTTTCCTAACTTTAACTGTGATCTTTATATTAGGGCTCCGACTCATAGCGACCCTATGAGTCGGAAACGACTCGACGGCACATAACAACAACAACATTATATTAGGGCTCCTCTGCTTACACCCTGTTACAGTTTATCCACAGCAATGCCACAGTCTCTCCACCACAAGGATCTTACTCTCACCAGGGTCTTTCTCCAGTCTCCCTCAAGTCTTGCCACCACAAGTTTTGCTTGCTGCAAGTCTTTCTCCTCAGTGTGGGAAGCACTCTTTCTTAAGAGTTCCACAGCTGTTGATGATTTGCAAGACCACGTGCCTGCAATTAAGGTTGCTGGAGATCAGAGAGGGCTAACTAATGTCTGAGAAAAGCCAGTTTTTAGGCTAACATCACACTGGGTTTCAACCTCTATGGGAGTAGATTGTCATGTCTTTATCCTACATGACTGTTCTGTATGTTTGAACCACCAACCTTTCAAATAGCAGCAGAGTGCTTAACCATTGTGCTTCAGGCTTCCTCTAAAAAAGATTTATCCTACAATAGGACCTTGCACAAGTTACTTAACTTCTCAGTGCCCTTGATTCTCTGTTTGGGAAATGGGATGATAATTATAGTGTCCACTTTGTAGGTTTGTAAATATTTGTAATCATAAAAAGCCCAAACTTACTATGGATGAGTCAGTTCTGACTCCTTCAGGTTTCTGAGGCTGTAAATCATAGAATGCTCATCTTTTTCCTGCTGAGCTGCTGCATATCAACTGCTAGAGACACACAGACCAACTTGCCAAGGACTATGTGCCTAGGACTCCTATTAATTACTGTAATGGTGTTTACTAAATACATGTACATTTATAGGCATCTCCCAGCATAAGAACAAAATTACAGTGTTTTCAACTAAGCCTCAAATCAAAACATTACTTGACCCTCATTCAGCTGTGTGATGCTGTGGAGAGGAAATTGTCTCCTTTTCCTCTTACACTTGTAAACATGCTTATTAAGTGGAAGGTTGTGGTAAGTCATTTGTGCTATCTTTTTTGTAGTTGTATCTTTATAGTCCTTTTTAAAAATTGTGATTTTCTTAAAAGTTTACAGAAAGAATAGGTTTTCATTCTCTCATTGATACACATTTTCCTTCCTTTCCTTCTCCACCTGTTCACTTTGTAATGCAAGTTTTGATCTGGATTGCCAATTGCTGTATACACAATGTCTAATCATTCATTCCTTCAGAAAGTTCTTCTCCTCTCTCATTCCACTGTAGTGTTTATTATCTAGCCATTCTCTCTCTGCTCTCCCCAATCTCATGTCCATCCTGTTTTTATAATAGTGGTTACAGTATTAGTCTTTTTGTGACTGAGATATTTCACTTTGCATAATGTCTTCCAGACTCACCCACCTTGTGTAGTATTTTACAAATTCAGTGTTTTTTAGTGTTGTGTAATATTCCATTTTGTGGATGTTCCATGGTTTTTCTATCCATTTACTGGTTACATCTGTATTATTTAAATTGTGTATTTCCAATTTAAATATCAGCACAGCACACAAACATTACGGTGGCCCCACAATGTCTGGAGCATGGACAGCACCATTTGCTGGTCCTCTGGGTACAGTTGTTAGCTCTTTTCTGCATATTGGCATCCTAGTGCCGATGCCTGCCTGGAAGGCTCTGGAGGACTAGGCCTCCAACCTGGGAGTTATAAGATGTGATACTTTGGTCCAGTCAACAGGGCCAGCACATCTGAAGAATCTTTGGGCTGGGATTCAGTCATCTAGATTGGCTTTACAAAATTTAACAGCTGCTCTGAAGGCAAAATGAGAGAGATGAACATTAAAGTGACAACTCCCATGATAAGGTACCAGAGTCAGGTTCAGGCTCTTTTAATTAGCCTACCATTCCCACTTCTGTGTACATTCTATCAATAGTAAGATGGATCTTCCAAGCCTGCAGAGTCAGAGGTCTTCATTGGAGACAGAGCTGAAGTGACTGTATTTGAATAGTCTTTTGATGGGTTCTCTCTGCCCCAAAGAGTGAAAAACAACTTTTTACATTAGCAAACATTTTGAGGACAGAAGAAAAAAAGAATTTTGATGAAAAAATTTACTACACTGCAAGTTACAATAGTCCACTTAAGTTAATTAAAATGTGCTTGATTCAGAAAGACGAACTCTCCAAAGAAAATTAATGAGAAAATGAAAAAAGTTCCAATGTCACCACAACAAGATAAAATAAGTAATCCAGTAGAAAAATGGGCACAGGATATGAACAGACGCCTCACCAAAGAAGACATTCAGATAACCAACAAGCACAGGAAGAAATGATCAAAATCCTTCGCTCTAAGAGAGATGCAAATTAAAACAACTATGAGATATCATCTCACCCCAGTAAAAAGAGTAAAATTTAACAGAACAGCAAGCAACAAATGCTGGTGAGGTTGTGGAGAAACTGGAACCCTTATTCACTGTTGGTGGAAGTGTAAAATGGTGCAACCACTGTGAAAGGCAGTATGGCACTTTCTAAAAAACTTGCAGATAGAGATACCATTTGACCCAGCAATTCCACTACTGGGAATATACCCCAAAGAGACCATAACTGCCACCCAAGCAGATATATGTACACCCATGTTTATCGCGGCTTTGTTCACAATATCAAGGAGTTGGAAACAAACTAAGTGGCCATCAACAAATGAATGGATAGAGACGCTGTGGAATATTCACACCATGGAATACTACACTGTGTTGAAAAACAAGGAACTCATGAAATACTATTCAAAATGGGTGACCTTGGAGGACATTATGCTGAGTGAAATATCTCAATCACAAAAGGACAAATACTGCATAGTGCCACTGTTGTGAAACATGACTGACATCGGGGTTGGGGGGAGACTGAGAAAGATGGGATAAATAATGTATACTTCATTGAAACAAGTGAGGGAGAAAACTATTTAAAAGGGATATGTGATTAGGTATTATTGTCATGAGAGGAGTGCAGAATGAAGGCTGCATAGTGGAGTGGACCTGGGGGGAGGGATTGTAAGACAATGAAAGAATTTTTCTTTGACTTTTCAAAGAGAAGAGTGAACTGAGGGGGGCAGGGGCAGGGAGAAAAATGCAACAATGAATGGAAATCCAAAGTCTCTGTAAATTTTCATTTAAATTAATAATTAAAAAAATTCTATTACCAGGAGCAAACTTCTACTTAATAGGCATCAACATTATTTGTAAGTATAATATGTGTCTAGTGCCTTCTACCCAAGAATATTACTATAAATTGAGTTTCTTTCCAATGTGCCCTTTTAATGCCTGGAGATTTATCTTGATACACAGATAGACTGACAAGAGAACCAAGTTCTAGAAATATTTCTAATAGTCATCTTTATTTCTATGAGAATCCAGGGAAGTGTCACACTGCTTCTCCCTCTCTTGTTTACTTCATTACCATTCTGTTGACATTTTTCCTATCTGGATTTGTGTCAATTGGCTTGTACCCCTTCCAAATCCTATCAGTAAAAATTTTAAACATTATAAATAAATAATTTCTCTTTATGTTTTCCCAAGTGACTGAGTGAGCTGGTGAAAGTCAGCTGAATACTTGAAATTTCTTTATTGTGAATATTTCTTGAAGGGATAGATGGATGAATGAGTAGATGGATGGATGAATCTTCTTTCATCCTTCCAAGTGTGACTTCTTACTTGAATATCGTGGATTAAATAGGAAGATTAATACCAGAATTTGGCATCTAATGTGCAGTTATGCTTCTGCAGGTTTTGAAGATTTCATCCAGGACCATGGAGAGTGGCAGTAACAACTCAGACCCTAATCGGTCTGATCCCTTTGAAGCGTTTCCCCTGAGAACCCTGGAGCCAGGTGACATTGCAGTGCTGGTTTTATACTTCCTATTTGTCCTCGCTGTTGGATTATGGGTAAGCCATGCCAGTGGGAGGTGGTGAAAGAGGTAAAAGTTCAGGCCAGGGGCCCTGAACCAACATCATCACTTTAGAGATAAGATACTGAGAAAGAGGAGAAGAAATGAGCTCAAGTTCACCTATTCAGAAGGGTACTGTTTTAAAAAAAAAAAAATGGTAACACACGCGACATGCAGAAGCAGTGATTTTGAAAATTACTTCATACTTAAAGGGACCAGAGAGAATTATGCTAAGAACTAACTCAGTCCCATAAGCACAAATACTGTATAAGATCATTATTGTAGAAATAGAAAAATAATCAGTAAAATTGTGTATGAGGATTCAAGGGAGAGGAGGGTAGAAGCAGAGGAGTAAGGATGAGCGGGGGGAAATCATAGGGCCACACAATTTGATGGGTAGAGGGAGGGGTGGGTAAATGAAATTGGAAAGATCCAGTGTGAAAAACAATGTACATTGAAAAACAAGGAACTCATGCAATATTATTCAAAATGGGTGACCCTGGAGGACATTATGCTGAGTGAAGTATCTCAGTCACAA